TTCATTGAGAATTCTCTGTTTAGATCTGTACCCCATTTTTAATTGGATTATTTGGTAATTTTATGTCTACCTTCTTGAGTTCTTTATATATTTTGGAGATCAGTCCTCTCTCTGATATGGAGTTGGTGAAGATCTTTTCCTACTCAATGGACTACCATTTTGCTTTATTGACTGTGTACTTTGCCTTACAGAAGCTTCTCAGTTTCAGGAGGTCACATTTATTGTTGCTCACAGTGTCTGTGCTACTGGTGTTATATTTAGGAAATTGTTTCCTGTACCAAAGTGTTCAAGATTACTTCTCACTCTTTCTTCTATGAGGTTCAGTGTTCCTGGATTTATATTGAGGTCTTTGACACATTTGGACTTGAGTTTTGTGCATGGAGATAGATAAGGATCTATTTACATTTTCTACATGTTGACATCCAGGTATGTTGGGCCATTAATTAAAGATGTATAATTTTAGCTTCTTTGTCAAAAATCAGGTATTCATAGGTGTGTGAATTAATATCAGTGTTTTTGACTTGGTTCCATTGGTCCACCTGTCTGTTTTTATGGCCCTACCAAGTTATTTTGACTAATGTAGTGACATAGCAGAGTTTGAAGTCAGGGATGGTGATGCCTCCAGAAGTTCCTTTGTTGTACAGGACTGGTTTGGCTGTCCTGGGTTTTTTGTTTGAAGTTAAGTATTATTCTTTCGAGGTCTGTGAAGAATTTTGCTAGGATTTTGATGGTCATTGCATTGAGTCTGTAGATTGCTTTTGGTAAAATTTTCATTTTTACTATGTTAATTCAACCTACCCAAGAGCATGGGAGATCTTTCCACTTTCTGGTGTCTTCTTTAATTTCTTTCTTCAAAGTTTTAAAGTTCTTGTCATACAGGTCTTTCACTTGGTTGTTTAGAGTTACCAAAAGATATTTATGTTATTTGTGGTTATTGTGAAGGGTGATTTTTCTCTGATTTATTTCTCAACCTGTTATCATCTGTATAAGGAAGTATTGATTTTTTAAATTAATCTTGTATCTTGCTACATTACTGAAGGTGTTTATGAGTTGTAAGAGTTCTTTGGTAGAATTTTTGGGGTCACTTATGTAAACTATCACATCATCAGGAAATAATGAAAGTTTGATTTCTTCTTTTATGATTTGTATCCTCTTGATTTCCATTTGCTGTTTTCAAGTACTATATTGAATAGATATGGAGAG